TTATTTATTATTTGACAGAGAGATTGGCAGCGAGAGAGGGAACACAAACAGGGGGAGTGGGAGAGGGAGAAGCAGGCTTCCGGCGGAGCAGGGAGCCCGATCATGGTCATGGGATCATGACCTGAGCGGAACGCAGACTTAACGACTGAGCCACCCAGGCGCCTATTTATTTATTTATTTATTTAAGAGGGGGGAGGGAGGGAGAAAATCCCAAGCAGGCTCCACGCCCAGCACAGAGCCTGACACAGGGCTCGATCCCACGATCCCGAGATCTCGACCTGAGCCGAAATCTAGAGTCAGAGACACTTAACTGACTGAGCCCCCCAGGTGCCCCTAAGCTCTCCTAACTCTTAATAAAACCCTTCTTAGGCATTTCCTCACTCTCACATCTTCGAGTTCCTTCATCACATCTTTTTTTCCCTTTTTACCACACTCCTTGAACAGTGTGCTCTCACCCTGTGCTCTCCAGCTACTGTACGCACCGCAGAGTGGGGCAGGTGGCTTTCCCTGTAGCTCTGGGCTGCGGCGCGCTCCCCCCCAGGGCAGAAGCTGCAGCGGATGCTGTACAAGCACTTGCCTGGTGGGCACCCGCAGTGGGGCCTTGTGTCTCTGACTCCAACTTCAACTTAGCCAGAGCGCCCAGCCTGGTGCCCTGCTGCGCTCTAGGGGTGGGCTGGCCTAAACCACCACCATGTGCTCACTGTTGAAATTTGGGGAAATAACTGTAAATTCGCTTCCTTTGTGTTTTGAACCTATGATCTCACCCAGAACTATGATGTTTCTAAAGAGTTGAGAGAGTTCCATTGCGTGCTGATTTGTTCCTGTTGCTGGATGTCTGGATGGTTTCCAGTTTGTCAGTAGTGTGAACATTCTTGTAGGTGAATGGCCCCTCAAGCTCACAGCCATTTTCTTGGGATAAATCACCTTAGCTGGGTCTTCTGGTCTTGGGGCAGGGGTGCCACACGAGTCACTCTTCTACCCACATTGGTACTCCTGGCTTTGCTCTGTCTGGATTAGTAGCTTCTCCAAACTCAGAAGTAAATATATTTGTTTCTCTAGCAACAAATTCCCAACCAAGCAATATGCTCTGTCAGGATGTCCTGCCTCTGTCCTCCAGGCCTCAGCTGATAGCACTCCCTGATCTCCCCCCTGGTCCTTGACCCAAGCACCTGCTCTCTGCACTGCCTATTTCAAGCCTCCTGTCTCTGGACTGTGGTAGCCTTGTCCCTGCACCAGGCTGTCCCCAGCATGTCCTGACACTGTCATCCATGGTCTCGGTGAGGTGCATAGGGACGCCCTCATGCCAGTGCACCTCCAGACTCGGCACTCGTGCTTGTTGGGGTCTGTTTTCCCAGCCCCTCTGTAGGCTCCCAAAGGACAGCAGCACCGCTGGCTGGCCCCTGTGTAGCATACCCCCGACCCTGGGGCAGACCCCACGTACACACACACACACACCGGGTGGGGGCCGTCTTCACCTGAGGTAGCCCCACGTACACACACACGTACACGTGTCTGCACAGACACAGCCCTCCCAGGTAGTTTATTCATTCTTCAGTAACAAAGATGGTAACTGCCACCGATTCTTCCAGACTTCTTTTTTTTTTTTAAAGATTTTATTTATTTATTTGAGAGAGAGAGAGCAAGTACATGAGAGGGGGGAGGGTCAGAGGGAGAAGCAGACTCCCTGCCGAGCAGGGAGCCCGATGCGGGACTCGATCCAGGGACTCCAGGATCATGACCTGAGCCAAAGGCAGTCACTTAACCAACTGAGCCACCCAGGCGCCCTCTTCCAGACTTCTTGAGTGCACATCCCCAGTTGCTGGGACGACTGCAGCTCATCAGAGAACCCAGTGCTGATTAAGCCACTGAGAGAATTGAGCCATGTATTTCTGATTTCAGAGCCCACATTCTTTTTTTCTTTCTCTTTTTTTTTTTTGAAAGAGCGCATGAAAGCGAGAATGGGGGGAGGGGCAGCTGGAGAATCTCAGGCTGACTCGCCACCCAGCACAGAGCCCTCTATCCTGAGATCATGACCGGAGCCAAAATCAGGAGTCCGCTGCTTTAACCTACTGAGCCACCCAGGCGCCCTTCAAAGCCCACATTCTGGAGCCACTGACTGCGTCCAGCCCAATGGCTCCTGTGAGGCTGTGCTGGTCTCGGAGCACATGGAGCGCGGTTGGACCCTTCTGGAGGCTGGCCCGGTGCCGTCCGCCGTTCTCACAGGCCACGTGACCCCGTGTTAGTGCTGGCGGTCCCCAGCCCAGTGCCCTCGAACACTGATGCGCAGCACTTGTCCGTTAGCGCCATTTACAAGGTGGTTTCTATGCTTTCTGTCTGGAGGAAAAAAACTTATAAAAATATAGTATCTAGGGACACCTGGGTGGCTCAGTCGGTGAAGCTTCTGCCCTCGGCTCAGGTCATGATCTCAGGGTCCTGGGTTCGAGCCCCACATCGGGCTCTCTACTCTGTGGTGAGTCTGCTTCTCCCTCTCCCTCTGTGATCTCTCTTGCTTTCACTCCCTCTCAAATAAATAGTTTTTAAAATATATATATATATATATATATAGTATCTAAAAAGATATAGATACATATAAAATATCTACCTAGTTATTGTTTTGTTTTGTTCTGTTTTTTTAAGGATATCCCTTTATTTTTATTTATAAGATTTTATTTACTGAGAGAGTAAGTGGGGAGAGGGGCAGAGGGAGAGGGAGAAGCAGGCTCCCCGCTGAGCAGGGAGCCCGGATCCCAGGACTCCGGGTTCATGACCTGAGCTGAAGGCAGATACTTAGCTGACTGAGCCACCCAGGTGCCCCCTGGTTACTGTTTTTTGTCTCTCAATGTACAAAATATGAAGAGGACCAAGAAATGAGTTACAAGATTGTGAGCAGGCAGCCCTGACTTTCATTAAAAGTAGTATTTGTGTATGTATTTTGGAAGCTCCAACTATGGAAAGTTAGGGAATGAATGTGGAAGGCCGCCCTCCCTAACAGTGCCTCCCGCCTCCCTCCACATGAACACTGTCCAGCAGGCCTTTAGGACCTAGAGAGGGGAGACTGCCCTGCCCGCCCCCTTCACCTGATGGGTCTTAGTGTCCACAACCTGCGTGGTGCACGAGGTGGACAGAGGCCATCTTGGAGATCATGTTTCTTTGGGCCATTGACCTAGGTGTGTCCTGCCTGGCCCTCCAGCACCAGCTGGAGTCTCCACGACTCTCCTCTCCTGCCTTCCCTGCACTGCTGAGTCAGACAGGCTGAGGCTATGATGGTGCAGTGTGAGGGTCAGTGGAGGGCCCGCTGGGTACCTCGCGGGATGGGGTTGGACACCCAGCACTGGCTTCTGTGGGAAGGAGGGAGGTGTGAGCTGACTGGAGTAATGTCAGATGCACCAGGAAGCAAATGCTGTTCTTAGAGAGGAACTTGGGCCGGAGCTTCAGCAGTAAGAGAGACCGGGACCTGGGGGTCCACAGAGCGGGTGGGGGCCACGGGTTAGGTGCATAGTGTGGATTCGGTATCAGGTGATCTCTGAGCACAGGCCACTCCTCACCTAGCTGGGCATTGATTCACCCCTGGGCTCCCTAGTGTCCCTGTGGATGGACGTGACCTGGGCTCTGGGAAGTGCTTGACCATACATCCTTTTCTAGGCACATAGATAATGTTTAAAAATCGTCATCTCTAAATATTTTGGTAATATTTTTTAGATAAATGCTTTGTTTTCCCTGTATTCTTTTTTTTTTTAATGTTTTATTTATTCATGAGAGTCAGAGAGAGAAAGCGAGAGAGAGGCAGAGGGGGAAGCAGGCTCCCCACCTAGCAGGGAGCCCGATGCGGGACTCGATCCCAGGACCCCGGGATCACGACCTGAGTCGAAGGCAGACGCTTAACCATCCGAGCCACCCAGGCGCCCCTTCCCTGTATTCTTACACTTTCCATACCAAAACCCTTCTGTGGTTTTCTTCCTTGTGTGTATTTTGTTTTTTATTACCCTGTTTTGCACAGTTGTATGTAGCTCTGGTGTGGACCAGGAAGAAAGGTGTCGGGGCCGATCTGGCAGGGGCATCCCACCCTTGCAAGAGAGGCACTGTTGCTGCCCCTTCGGTCAGACGCCTGGCCAGCCCACCCACTGGGCACACTCCTTCCGGGGATAAATTGGTTTACCCTGCATTTCCAGTTCTTAGGGTCACTTACAGTGGAACAAAATTACAAACCGTGATAAACAGAGCTAATTAAGTAGAAATTGTAATGTATAGGTACTGCAAAATCGGTTTTTTGTTTTACCTTTCCTCATACCAGAAGTTGATCAAGGTTAGGGATCTCAGTATGTCCCACCCTCAGCAGCCCAGCCTTGGCTCCACACGCTCAGCAGGGTGGGTGCTCAGGCAGCACACGACTGTTTCCATGCCACCTGGACTACTGTAGCGTCTTACAGAAAACAAATCCACTGCTCCGCTTGGTACCCCAATCCCAGCCCTGACCGTGCCTTCCTGGAGGGCTCGGGAGGCCTCTGCAGACCACCCTCTCCCCTCCCTCCCTCACGCGTGCACACTCTCTCCCCGCTGGAGTGTGAGCTCCGGGAGGGAATGAAGCGCTCCTCTGATCACGGATATGTTCCTCGCGCCGGGGTACGTTGTTGTGGGATGAGTGGGTGTGTGAACGGGAAGGGAACCTCTGTCCCCACATGTGGATAAGACGAGCAGAGATGGAGTGTGTTCCTTACACCTGCGCAGTGTTTGCCAGTGTGCAGGACGGGTTGCTCGCCGCCTCCCGTTTGTCCTGGGGTGCATGCCTCCGGGCCTGTGGGCTGCGCTGCTTCCTTTATTCATCACTGCGTGTGAGGCCGGGGCCAGGGTTGCTGATAAGGCATGGTCTTCACCTACATGTGGGACTTCGAGGTGTAGTCATGCTGCCAGTGTGCTTTTCTATTTACAGGACCTTAGAATCGGGGTGGGATGGGGTGGGGTGGGGCTGCATGTCGGGGTCATCATCTGTGTCTGTTCTCCAGGTTACCTGTCCTGCTGCCGCTTCCTGGATGACAATCAGATCGTCACCAGCTCTGGGGACACCACCTGGTGAGCATCTGAGCGCCGTGCCTTCCATACCCTGCTCACCTTAGATGTGTAGGAAGTAAGATTTTTGACACTAATTAGGCCATCTTTTATCGGTTTGAAGTGGCCGTGAGGCATCAAACACAAGTGCGTGAGTGATGAGTGAGTTCATTTTACTCTACAGATTTTAAAGCTCAAAGTTTAATTTTGAACAAGGAAGAACTGACTCATAGACGTTGAGGCTGCAGCTGCACGAGAAATGCCTGCTTTTCTCTCCCTGCACACACTCCCCGGCTGGGTGACACTCAGCAGCCCCCTGGGGGAGCAGGTGTGCTTGCGTTCTCCTCAGTGGAGCGCTGTGCCATGTGGACCCAGCAGGGCTCAGAAGGAGCAGGGGTCACGATTGCGAGTGGATTGTGTCAGACTTCTCCTGAGTTTGAGCTGTTCTCTTACTTAGAGTTAGAAGCCCACTTACACAATCTCTAGAACGTTTTCATTTGTGGCACCAGGGCGTACAGTTTAAATGATCAGATAGGTGGGTTGGTTGGTTGGTTGGTTGGTTGGTTTTGGATGCAGAACACATTTTTAATAGTTTCGTGTTTAAAAGAGTAAGCCATCTGCTGAGGCTAGAGGTTTGACTTAAGGTTTTCTATATTGTTTTGTTTGGGTCAGATAGGTATTTTATGAGTCATTTTAGACTTAAACTGTCCTGGGGGCTTTTCTGGTCTTCGAGGCATGATGTGGTGGAATGCCCTGTGCCGGGGCCTGACTCCCATATCCAGCTTGTCCTGGTCTACAAGGCGTCCTTTTTGTATAAACTGTGTAAGTTCACAAAAGACGTATATTCTAGATTGTCAATTTTGGGAAGAATTTCTTTATTAGAAGATATTTTTTAAAGCTTTTTCATTTATGAATAAGTGTTTTTCGGAGTCCTGGGCACACCTTATTTCCTCCCTGTAGTCCCCCAGGCCCCAAGCAAGGAAGCCCTGCCCAGTGTAGGTGTAAATGGTGTGACTGGATTTGCGCCTGAGCCAGATTTCCTGGGGGGCTGGGATGAACTGAGCAGTTTCCAGTGTTGACGCCTCCTAGAGTCTGAAGCACAGAAACAGCATGTGCCCCACTCATAGCTCTGTCCGCATCTTACTTGACACCCGTCAGTAGCCGCTCACGCTGACACCGCGGGGCACCAAACTCAGGGCTGCCCTTCGGCGCACTTGCCACTCACTCTCCCACGAGTGGCTCCAGGGGAGGGCCGTGGGGCCCCAGCCTGCTTTGAGCCATTTGTTTACCTGGTGTTTTCTCGGTGTCCTAGCCTCTGGCCTTGTCATGCCCGAGGCCACGGAGCCGGCAGCAGTAGACTCACGTTCCCTGCCTCATCTGGGACACCTCCAGGAGCTCCCTGCAGCTCCTTGCGAACCCACAGAGTGCAGGTCACTGGCTCCATCTTTGTTGGTGTCTGAGTTGGCGCAGAGAAAACGGTTACTCCGAAGCCCGTGGCACATTCTCATCTGTGTTTTGTTTGTTTGCTTTGTTTCCCTTCCAAACACAGTCACATTACAAAATTTAGAATTGTCAGGCCAAAAAGCGCAGAGGTTTGCTATGGTCCTAGATGGTTTGAAGGACAGTCACCTGACTGGTTGCCTGACAAAGTGAGGTGACTGCTTGTCGTGTGTTCCTGCTGCAGTGCTCTGTGGGACATCGAGACCGGCCAGCAGACGACCACATTCACTGGACACACTGGGGATGTTATGAGCCTCTCTCTCGCTCCCGACACCAGACTGTTTGTTTCTGGTGCTTGTGATGCTTCAGCCAAACTCTGGGATGTGCGAGAA